TACTTCTATACTGATAACCTCTCGAAAGCTCTAGACATATTTTACCATAGCTCAAACACATGCTTAGACGCTGTGATCCCATTGCAAACAATAGAAGTCTCAAAATTTAAGAAGCAATTTATTCAACCAAAAGATTGCTTAAAACTGAAGAGACTGTCAACAGGTTACTTCACACGATACGAATTTAGTATACTAGGGTCAATACTTAGTACTCTTAGCTCCATCTCGTAAGCTCATAAGTTGCGTATGAGAAATGAAGAATGCCCCGCACTAGCCAGCACCATCAGAGTAGGTGCGCTCACAGAAATCCTAAAGAAACGAATGAATCGCCAAAGCCATAAAATTTCTCTCCTTATAAACAAGGGTAAACTATACAGCAACCATGCAGACATGTGTGAACTGTTTAACGAGACGTTTGCAGCTAACTACCTTAAGCCCATAAGCCCACTTCTCGAATTATAACCCACAATGGAACTCCCTTCTTCATTAGCGCTGAAACAAATCAGTACAGTTCATTTCACTTATTCTAATATTAACCAAGCCATTAAAACTCTTAAAAGCTCTAGTAGTGCTGGTATTGACGGCATACCATCGTATTTTCATAAACACGGTGGTTCTGACATTTCCTTATTATTACTTAAGATCTTTACAATGTCTCTAGAAAGCCAAACCTATCCAGACAAATGGAAAACCACATTTATAATACCCAAACACAAGTGCGGATCGAAAACTGAAGTCAACAACTATAGGCCAATCAATATTACACCCATAGCATCTAGAATTATGGAAAGAATAGTTAAAGGTGATATTCTCAAATGTATGCTCAGCTGCAATATTGTAAGTCCGAACGAACACGGATTCCTAAAATCCAGATCATGCATGACCTGTCACCTTGACTTCTTTAACTATATAACCGGTAGCCGAGACAGACAACAGCTAGTACTAGTCATCTACTTCGACATCTCCAAAGCCTTCGACCGCGTTGACCATTTGCTGCTAATATATAAGCTGAACTCCTTAGAAATACGTAACCCATTATTAGAACGGCTTGAATCATTCCTTAACAATAGGTCCCAAGTAGTTAGACTGGGGTCTGTAAACTCTAAACCTAGTCCAGTCACTTCTGGTATAGTTCAGGGTAGCGTCTTAAGCCCCCTCCTGTTCACTCTATATGTCAACGAGATATGCAGTTGTTTCTCGCTTGACAAACCGTTCATCTTTGTAGATGATCTTAAAGTAGCTTACACGTTCCACTGTGATGACTTAGGATACTTTCAGAATGCTGTTCAGAAAGAACTAGATAGAGTAACTGCATGGTCCTCCACATGGAACCTAAAATTCAACCTTAACAAATGTGGTTGGATCTGTTTCGGTGCACCCTCAATAAATATCAAACTGGTACTTGAATCTATTGACTTGCCTAAACTCCAAAGTGTTGTTGACCTAGGACTCAGGTACTCTAGTGACCTGACATTTTCTGAGCAAGTGGCAACGCAGACGCGTAAATCGAGGATGCTCTTAGGATGCATACTCAGGAATCTCCACAACTACGAAGCGAAACTTATATTATGCAAAACACTACTAGAATATTGTCCATTCGTTCTCAGCAGCACTCGCCTATGTAACAGGCTTAAAGTAGAAAGTGTCCAACGATACTTCACGTCTAAACTACTAGGATTTGACTTCGAAAAGGACTACATGTCAATGTGTATAACTCTCTAGGTATCGACCCAATCTGGTTGAGACGACTCAGCATTAATTTAACATTCTTCTTTTAAGTTTTGCATAAAATATAATTCTCAGAAAGCAAGGAGATACAGTTCTCACCTACAACCTGCGTAACCAAACGTGCACAGTATGTAGGAAAAGCTGCAACTAAAATTAAGTTTTTATTTTCTAGTTCTAAAAGTTTTTATAGTAGAGTTGTTCGCAGCCTTAAGTACTAATGTGGAATTTGGCCATAAACGTTCGACGGGTGTTGGGGGAACTATACTACCAGGAATTGTTCTCCCGTCACCCTGAAGAGACGACTATGGGACGGGTGTTGGCCAGCGACCGCAGTCGTCACCGACCACCGGTCTTTTCGTTTCCCGACGCCATAGGCTGCTGGAAAGCACATGGTTGCGTGCACCGTTTAGCGTGTCCACCAAATTTCGAATATAGTGTGTTGTAAGTTATATTTACGTACATTGCGTGAGCGACTACGCTCTCTTCTGTATGATGTAATAGGTTGTCTATTAAACGTCATCGTCATTAACTGCCCGGTCAGAACGTATATTTTACGTTCTAGTGCTTCTATGCGTTCGTCTGACGATTTGTTGAGTACAGATGTTACTTGTGGAGACATCCGTTCATACATTGTCAATGGTTATCCAGATATATTGATTGAGAGAAATGTGAATTCAGCACCTAGGAGAATCAGTATGGCAACAATTCCAAAAAAACCAGTGTTCATAAAACTGCAGTTCCTCAGTGACAACATCAGCGAAATAATAACACAGCGCCTGAAGAATCCAGTTAAATTATCTTATTATGCAGCAGGGCTACGTTGTGTCTTCACAACCACTACTATTTTACGTTCGAGAAATAAGGATAACCTACCTAAATTCGCCTCTTCTATGCGTATCTACCAGTTTGACTGCAGCTGCGGAGCCAGCAGCATACAGTTAGGCAGGTTCATCATCGTATTTCCGAACATGATCCAACATGGTTAAGCAAGGGACAAACAAGATGTATTCGTAGCTCTATTTTAGCACACCTTGTAGATAGTGAGCATAAGGTTGACGTGAATACTGCATTTAAAATTATTTATCGCATTCCTACTAATCTTAATTTTGCTCTATGAGTTCATCTTCTACAGACAGCTGAAGCAATAGGAGTCCACCTGAAGAAGCCAAGCTTGTGTGTTCAAAGAAATTTGTACAGCCACTTTCCTTACCTTAGCCATCGGTACATGAATGTATAAACCGGACTACTTCGCCCCCTCCCCCTAAACCTTTAAAATTATAATTGTTCAAATTATTTTATTTCTTCTGACCACTTCATCTTCAATTACGTGTTATCCTTGTAAAATTATTTATTCTAACCATTTCTACCTTCTAAGTGTGTATTGATTTTCTTCGTTAATTATCAACCCATTGGCATTTTGACACTAATTATTGTTAACAAACGTATCGTCATTTGTTTGGTAAAGTGTTGTGTATTTTAAGAGAAATGCTATGTATACTAGAGTAGAGCCAGAGATGAGGATCTAATTGGAAAGTAAATATTTCTTCGCTCAATCTTTCTGTTTTCTAAATGGGTTTTTTCAATATTGAAATCATCACTGTCGAACGCGCAGTAAACCACGAGAATGTAAGCATCGATCGCGTAACACCCGCTTTCATGGAAATAGAGATGACTGAATGTTTACCCAAGTCATCAACATCTAAAGTTCCGCAACAAAATGATTCCTGCTCTCACGATTCAAAATCTGGTGATATTCCGGCTAACAAAACATAAAGAATCACAAGATCAGGCAGGCGAGTGCATTGGCCACAAAAATTTGTACAGACAATTTATTTCTAAGTAATTTCCATACTTCCTTATTTCTGTTATATACTGTAAGATATAAATCTATTCCGTAACTCTTTACAATAACAACCTCATTATTATTCTAACAATTTTTCTGGTTTTATTGTTACATTTTGCACAACTTTCTAAACATTTTGGTTCGTTTCTAAACTGTTAGCATTTTTGAATATATACAGTTATATTATCAAACCTCAGAAAACTTAAAATCCTCAATTAAGTTTTCATACCAGACACTCGTATATATTTTTTGTGTCCTTGTAATTTACAGTAACATTCTGAGTACAGGTAAACTTCATTTACCTGCATTCTACGGAGGGGCTATTGTAGTGACCCGTTTTATTACTCATCATCGTAGTATACTTTCACTATGTAATTGGACTTTGATTTGTTTATCACTCTAAAGATTGCATGTTAACAATTGATTCATTGTACTCGCTCAACTTTTGAATTTTGATTACTGCGATAATACACGTTCGTATTCCTTCTCAAGTGCCTGTTGATTTACGTTGTGGATATCGAGTAATCACAACGTTAGGACACAATAATAAACGCGAAGAAGTACTAGGATATATTTGTACGCCAGTTTGGTCAAATAGAGCGACACAACAAGTTGTCGACAACCAGTGTTTTGAAAAAGACAGGCTTTTCCATGATGGGTATTGCTATCATTCTCAAATACGTTTCAATTTATTTCCTTAAACCAATGCGTTATGTTAACATCTAGAAGTTCTGATAGTAGCAGCTTCGTCACTGTCTGGTTTCTATGTCCCTAAAACAGTTACTTTACGACTATATGCATAACAACTTAAATAATCTCAATACACAAGGTTGTATTGATAAATTTAGATAAAGCAAGAAACAAGATACCTTCCTGGTTCTACCGTACAGTGACAAAACTTGTACCAGAGAATATCTTCATTATAATATCTCTTGTCCTTTAACCTATAAGCCTGGATTAGAGAAGACATTATACGTCAGAGTCAGGAAGCTATCTCCAACTAAAACATTTTCTCTACTTCCATTCAAACATTGGAGCATGTTATTTTCATTCTCTATAACCACTGTAATTGCAGGTAGTCTGCAGATGATGAGAACTTGTGAAACAGAGGAACGACATTTTGTACTGTAAATTTGGTCTTCCTTGCTTTATCGAAATAAATAATCTTCAACTGCCACCACACCAGGCTGAAAGGTACTTTACTCAAAGAGATAAAACCTTGAGAAATAAACATAAACCAAGAAAACTACTGTAAACTACAGAGTAATATGGGCTGCTCATTTTCTCTCATATTGTTGACTTGATTAATTGATTATAGTGTTTAAATGCCATTGAAGTATGACTTCAGTAATACAAGCAAACAGACAACACTCAAAAAATCAACTAACAAGTCTCAAAGAGAGAAAAAATGTATATAATATTTTTAGAACACGAAAAGAAAGACTATCTAAAGTGTATATCTTGTAATATGCAGTCTATGTATAATCTATGCTTCCATGAGGTGTATAGCAGTCTTAGTAACTGTCAAATACACTGTAAATTTACAGATAAGAAGGAATATTTCCTGTACAGTAATATACTATTTATACATTTTTACAATTACACTCATTTAAAATTGTCTGAAAATTCATTGGATTCGATATTTGATATTCAGACAGTAAAAGAAGATAGGCATCATTGAACACTTTGCCTTCTGTATCCATTCCACCATGGATAAAGAAATAATCTTGACAGTAAGCATCAACGTTATGATGATTACTACTTTTTTCTTCGTCATTGCTTTCTTCTTCTTCCTCTTCTTCGTTAGTATCACCTGTACTTTGATCATCTAAGGATAAAGCCAAAGAAGAAAAGTTTTGTAATGATCACTGCTTTTAAATAAAACTTGTCGACAGCTGTCTAAGCTGCCTACTGAAGATGGGATGGCCAGCCGGAAAGGACCAGCCACAAGAAACTCTGGGAAAAAACCAACTAAAACCCTATAGCTCAACAAATACGCTAAAGGAAATGCAGACGTAGATATGATAGGGAAGATTTGTAGCTCAGGTGGATGTGTTCTCTGAGCTGGATAGTTAATTTGCGAACCTTTCATCACCTTACTAGGTGACATCTTCAGCACACTTCAATTTGAAGTGGGCTTTTAGATTTCTCCACGAGTTTATTAATCATCTCTCCCGGTGACCTTGGACATGATTGGTTGTTTTTGTGTTTTCACACCTTCTAGGTTAATTGTATTGTCACTCATTGTTTCTTTGACCTGAACTTTCACCCTTTGTGTGTGACGTTTCTTTCTTATCGGTTGATAAATTTTGTCTATCTCGATGTGTCTATTGATTGATGATTCACTGGAATGCCAAGCTTCTAAAAATTCTCTAGCATTCTTGTTGTTTCCTCTGTCTAATATTTGAACGTCGTCCCAGTCGAATTGATGTCCATGGTTGTCTGTATGTACTGATATAAGGGAGTGGATGTCATGTCTTTTGACGGCTAGCTTATGATCATGGATACGAAGATGAAAGGAACGTCCACTTTGGCCAATGTAGTGTTTTTTGCAGTTGTTACAATTTATCTTGTAGATGATGTTGGTTTTATCTTCTTTCGTTGTTGAGTCTTTTGGTTGACATAGATCTGAGTGGAGTGATTTTGTTGGTTTGTGTGCGACATCAATTCCCAAAGGTTTGAAGAGTCTTGCAGTGATTTCTGAGATATCCTTTTTATATGGTGGGGCGATTTTCTGTGTGCTTTCCTCGGGGGTCTTCAATTTGATAGGTTGGCTTGAGGGTATATGTCTTTTCATGAAATTCCGTGGATATCCATTCTTTTGGAAGACGTCCATGAGATATCTTTTTTCAATTTTCCTTAAGGTGGGAGTGCTGTAATGTGTCCTGGCCCTCTTGAATAGTGTTTGTATACAATTCTTTTTGGGTGTTATTGGATTGTTGCTGTTGTAGTTCAGTATTTCATCTGTGTGAGTTGATTTTCTATAAACTTGAGTTTCGCTTGACTAAGACGTCCAAAAATGGGATTTTGTTCCATATTAGTTTGTTTATTAGATGTATCACACAGTGAAACAATATTATTCACTGGATGACGTTTCGAACAAAATTTATTGTTCATAATCATATCAATTGTGATTGTGTTGTTTTTGTTGGAAATGCAGATGGATTGAACACACTCTAAGGAGATTATTGAGTGACACATCATGCGCCAGATAAACCTTCGAGTGGAACCAGAATGAGAAACGACGAGCTGGGGTGTTCGAGGATGTTGCGAGGTAGATTGTGTCAGGAGGAAATGAAAGCCTATGGTTAGTCCTAAAGTCAGGTAAAGAGCATCGCAGAGAACAGAGTGAAATGGCAATGTGTTGCTGAAGCTTTATGTCCCACTTGGAACTCAAGGGAATAAATAATATGAAAAAAAACAAATGCCTTGTTGAATTTTCGAAAGAATATGAATAAGAATTAACTGCAATACTGAGAAAATTTGTTATTGCATTTAGAATCTACTATTATGTTTGAATATAACACAAGTAGTAGTAAATCATTTATTGAACAATAAGGTATTCTGCCTAAACTGTGGTAACCTGCATACTGAACGGTTATTTGTTTTTATAAGAGGTGAAGCATATATGCCCGGAGTGATTTCTGAACCATAGGATCCAATCATTTCAAAGCAGTACAATTCTTGCCACCAACTTAACTTAACTGGAATAGTAGTTTAATATCACTCGTTTGCAAGTTGCACAGTCGAAGGTGAAGCTTCACTGTTGTTTCCTCTAACCCTCGAAGCCAAATTAGTACGCCGACAAGCTAGGCCTCAATGCAGCAAAACAACCTAGCTGACGAGCACTATTAGTTTTCGCTTACGCGTAAAGATTATTGTCATATATTTGTCACTTTTCTGCTTCGAAATTTAACATCATTTGCGTTAGCAAGCAGACCACCAAATATTTTTTTATAATTTCTAAGAGCCCATGAAGAAATCTCACCTTGGACTGCGCCATTTGTAAACAAGTGATCTGGTGTTATACTCAATACCACAACCAACGAGAAATCTAATTAGTATTTTCCTACAGTCGGTCGAAAGACCACTGGAACTAACTAATGACTAGGGGATAAGACCAATCGTCATGTAGAAAGACTAAGTTTCGAAGAAATAGGAAAGAATAAAAATTAAAGGTAAAGAAACGTATACTGCTATACCTTTTAATGAATTGCTTGTCAATTCCACCAATTTAATTTTCGCATTTTTCTTCTGTACTGTCATCGTGACTACACAATATGCAAAATCTAAACGTGGACCAGGCAATATACCTGTCTCACACTTGATTTCACTCCACTGTTTCAGATCTAATAGCAAGTGTAAAGCGAGAGAGAGAAAAAAGAAAGACAACAACATATTTTAACGGTTAAAGATGACGGACTTGGTAAAAGGAATGTTTATTTGGAATTTGATATCTCTATATAGCGAAATTATGTACACCTTATCCCCAAATCGTCATTTACACAGATCTTTCATCCTGTGCTACTTCTGCTCTTCGTATTGTGTTTCGTTACCTTCTTCTTTTGTCTCCGTGTTTTGCTGCAAAGCAGGTTCACCTCCTCTCTTCGACGTCAAATCTATCTCTCCGCTATCTGATATTTTTAAGCCGATAAACGTCTATTTATATCCTACTGACAAATCTTATCAGTAGCATACTCCACAATATAATAAAATAAAAGTATCACAGAGACAATGAACAGTTTAAAGTAGTCTAATACAAGGAATCACTAAGTGATATAAGCAGTTGCTAAATGTGCACACTAAACAACAGTGAATATTAATCAGATCAAGACGATTTAAACACTGGACAATTGCATTATTCATTTGAATCTCCGCTAATCAGCACTATGATGAAAAAATTGTTAACTGTATATATGTTGTACGTCGGTGAATTGATGGTAGAATGCTCCCCAGTCATGCTAGTTGTTTGGGTTCGGTTCCCCGCGAACAAGCACTCCTAAACCGCGCCTAGCTTACATATCGATAGTAAGCCTGAAAATGGGGGAAGATTGAGTGTGAGGCTAACAACTCCACACTATAAAAGCAACACAGCAAACATAGCTTAAGCTTGAAGCCCCATGTTGCACTAGGAACGTAAAACAAAGGAAAAATATATACCTATTATGTAGCCAACTAAGTCAATTATGATTTGGGCGTCAACTTTTAGCATTGTAAAACACTGCCCACAACATTTCTCAATGTTGCTGAATATAACTTTTAATAAATTTAGTTAATTCTGAAATCACATGTTTGAAAGTAATCGGTAGAAGGCCCTGAACCTTGATTTCATGCCTGTTGGAGATATTCGTCAGCAAGGCGTACCTGCAGTCTAGAAGAAACTCATATCCACTCTGAGGTTCGAGCCCGTGTCATCCAGTGCTGCAATCAGAAATGTTACTACTAGGCTATTCACACTAACAAATGATCTCCTGTAAAAGTGTAATGGATATATTGTTAGTTCTATGTATTATTTTCAGTTTCAGTGTAGTATTCAGTTTTCTTCTCTCAAGGCTTCTTAAATCAAATCCGCATAATTATGTCGTAATCTGTTTTATTTTTGTACCTTGAAATAGTAAAACTAACAATTAAATACGTGGTATTTCCTCTTTGCCATATAGTATTGAATAGAAAGAAAAAAACAGAACTGTGATTAATTCCCATCATTTATATGATTAAACAGTTTTTGTACTCCACTTTTCGTAGGACGCCTAAGTGAAGCATTTCTCTTATTTTTCAACCGAAATTTCTGGGCCGCACACAGCAGTGTTAAAGATTATGCAGAGTTTTCCACTGAAATGACGACAACCAGAGGCGGTCACTAACGACTATGCGTACTGTCTCCATTTATTTGTTTAATTTCATTATAGATGTATTAACCGTCACTTAGAGGTTGAGTTGTTACCAAATTAAAGTCTCGTCGACCTAGAGTATGCAAATAATATTGCCCTCTAATAAGCACTGACAAACTGCAGAATCATGTCAACAACTTGAACGAAAATTCTATTATGTTTGATATGCAATTCATCTCTGTCAAAATGTAAGATGATGTTGCAGGAATAGATAGGGAGTAAAGTAGTTGAGCGTGTTGACCACTTCACTTATTTGGGAAGTTGCATCAACCCTAATGGACTAATAGGTAACGAAATCTAAAAAATTATACAAAAGGCTTCTGTGGCATTTATCAAACAACGTGTGGAAGTGATATCCGGTTATCCATCAAAGGATATGTATATTGGTCAGCAGCAGTTCGCTTCATCCTCCTTAATTGCTGTAAGATATAACCATTAAAAGTGGAAGATATGAAAAGGTTAGGCGTCTTTGATCATAGATGTCTGCGTTCTATCTCCCATGTTAGATTGTATAAGAGGGCGATTAATATTGAGGTTAGGTTTCGAGTGATTGGTAAGGAGCGAAAGCCAGTCGACGAGGTTGTGAAGCTATATCGATTGCGATGACTAGGACATGTGTTACACATGCTGTGGTGAGAGCTGTCTGCCAGCCAAATTGGTAGACAGTAATATACGTCAATGTTTACGTCCTCAATATTCGTCGTGAGAAAAATATGAACAAAAACTGATTCAACAACCAACCACAGCAGACTTTGTGTAGGCGGATACAGTTAGCATATAGATGATCTGACATTCAAGAAACAGCCACCAAAAGAGATGAAAGATTAACTTTCAGTGAGAAACCACCAGTTAGAAGACTGTGTTTGCCTACTAACAATAATCTTTAATGATGTACTTGAAAATCTATAAATATGTGTTGATTTCCTTAATAAACGATCTGTTGCCTGGCCCTTGTCTTCTGTTGTTACAATGCCTTCATCGACGGGCAATGTTAGCCAACAAACGATTAGACTGGGAAAGAGTTACGGGTAGTCAGACCAAAATATGGTATTACTTCATGATTTCTTTAACAGTTCGTTTGAGGCAGTCACATAAGATGTAGAGTGCCTATTTGGGGTCATCGGGGTGCTAAGATCCAATGACTGGAGACTGTTAGTGATATGGCTCGAAATCATTTTCAGTGGCACAGATGCATTCACTCTTTGTGACCTCCAACATCCACTAAATCCTCATTTTTTTCCATTCTACTGTTCATTCCCCAGTACATTTCTGCTTATTATAGTTCCTTTGAATCCTTTTTTTTCGTCTTTTGTCTACCTGTGTGTGCTACAAAAAGTGTAGTAACTTGAACTGCTAAAATTCAGTTCAAAGTTCTATGTTGAAACTTAGTCAGTGATATATACTTCTCATTAAGTAGAAATCTAGACACTTGAGCTACATATATAAAATAAGTAGTATATTCATCTTTAAGTCTACTGAAATTGGAGCAAAGCTTTTTAGTTCGGAAAAAAATACGCTACCGTTGCACCACACAGAATAAACGCACATAATCGATATTGTATCAAAGTATAGTGACATCAAAACTGTAATAATAACCAGAGGTTTACTAATTCTGTAAACGACATAATTATGCATAAAATGAACAATATTTCTTTCTAACTAACTTGTATCAAAGCAGAACATGTCATTTAAAGCTCCAGTTTTTGAAAATCCACCAAATATAAATATTTTAGTCGTATCTGACCCAAATATTTTATTTGTCAAAATCGCTCCACCATGAGCAGCACGTGAACCCGGTGAAATATAACCTAAGGATTTGAGATGTGGTGTATTTGAGTTCTCATTTGAGTTTATTGCGTCAGCATTAATATTAGGGTATAATTTACTCCATACACCTTTAAAGTGTACATCACCATTATCACACTGTAAGAAAAGATTGAAAACAAAAATATTTGAAGGATAAATTTTGAAAGACAGAAAATACCTACTGAATCATAAAGAAAATTCTCCTTATCGACGAAATCATCTTTGGAGGCTGTACAGTCATATTTAAATTTGACAAAACATTATAGTAGTCTATTACTGAGTAACAGAGAGATGATATAATTGATAAAATTACTCAGAATTGGCTTCAAAAGTAAAAAATAAAAGTTGTAAATTATGTAATACTCAACAGGACAAAGGAAGAAACCGTTAGAAATTTGATGAGGTTGAAATTCTGAAGAACTACTTGTTCAGATCACCGAGAAAAACCTTCTTTTCGGTTGAGCTACGGATCAGTTTTTCCAGCCGACAAATGATCAGTGTATGTGTGAAGGATAAACTACCGCTTTGGACCACTTCAATGTGTGTTTATAAATTCACTTGTTCCTGTGGAGCTAGTTATGTTGGCAGCATAAAATGAGCACTTTCCAAACGCATCTCCGAACATTATCCAGCATGGTTAGCAAGAAGACAGTTGCTAGCTCAATTCTCGTGCACTTAGCTACACAGCTTCACCACAGTCGTCTTTTAAGATTATCTACAAGGTGAGAACGAATGGTACAACATTTGTGTACAGTGAAGGTGTTGGTGGTTCGTCAATATAACCCCGAAATCTGTGTACAGAAGAACTTTGTTCAGTCTCTTATTCTATCATGGTGTTAATCTCTTTCCTAATTGTTAACTTTTATTTTTAATAATCAGTTCACTATTATCACACTTATACTTTCCTTTTGTACATTTTTTCACTCTCTTCACACTTGTTACGTGGACAATCAACTACCTTTCTCCGGATTCAGTAGTAATTTTTAACCTAAGAAAATCTCAAACCTTATGCTCCATTGTACTATTTACCATTACGTAATTTTTAATTTTCTAAATTTTAATTTAGAATCCACTTATGAGTAGTTATATCAATGTCAACCCCTATTACTCACTAATATACTATACGTTTTCGGCAAATATAAACACGACTGTACAGCCTGAGATGATTTTGTCGGTGGTGTATATATTTGTAACATTGTTATTCATGCTAGTATTCTTTAGTGTAACGCTTACAAACAATTATGAAATGACAGTTCGAACTGTGTAATTTGTAAGTAATTTGAGCTGATTCGACCCTAAGGTGAATAAATTCGGTTCAAAAATGAAAAGGACTATTTAATATCAATCTACAATATGCATGCTCTCTTGACATCAGTTCTAGTGTCCAGCAGATCAAATATCGTGACCTGAATATTTTTGGTTTCCAGTCGAAACTATGGTGAAATGTCACCTCGAACTTCTTCGGCGGTCTGCTTAAAATTTAGTGACCTACTCAGATATTTTATTCACCCAAATGCATCATGTTTAACACTATTTCATATTGTTTTATTCATACAATTATGTCTAAGAATCTCAATGTACACTCAGGTACATTTTCATCAAATAGGTCTCAACCAGTTGCTACAAATTTTCTCAAGGAAATAATGGAGAAACATTGTGGACTATTGGAGCACGCTCCGGATAGAAAACAATATCGTTTATTATACTACTTGAAGATTCTGTACAAGGAGCAAAAATACCTTGCTGAAAATTCTGTATAGTGTTTAAACGCATTTTTTCCAACTAAAACTAGTATTATTTTTTTTCAAAACTAAGTTTCAAATGACCAGTTTTATTAAATTTTTAAGAAGCTACAATAAAATATTGAATTATATTAAAATATAATTAAGTGGTTATTGTTTATGTCGAAAAGTTAGAGTGAAAGGGATGAAACACTGATGATCATTTCAATAATCAATGAATACGCTACCACTCATATAGATTATGCAATCGGTAATATGTCGTATTATGGTGTGCACTACTGATAAGATTTATCAGTAGTATGTAAATACATCAAATAGCGGGAAGATAGATTTGATGTCATAGAAAGCAAATGATACAGCATTGCTGAGAGATACATGGGAAACGTGAAAAGAACACAAACATAATATGAAGGAAGATCAGCAGTAGCACAGCACGACAGATCTATGCAAGTGGAGCGTTGAAGATAAGGTGTACATAATTTCGCTACACAAAGAAACCACATTCGAAATAAGCCTTTCTTTGCCAAGTCTCTCGTCTTCTACCGTTACAGTATGGCGGCGAGCACGTTTGATATAATATGGAATTTTCAGTCTGTAATACGATATTGCATCTAATTTTCTTTTCATGTTACATAGTAAGGAGGGAATTAATTAACGGGGCACATACATTGATAATCATGTCAGTTAAGCAGGAATATTGACAAGAATATAATATTAATGACACAAAGAATGAACAGAGCCGTTTACTTACCGTTTGGTAGTAAGTTAGTAGTTCCATATCTAAAACTTTTCTCATCTCATTAAATATGTGCCAAATAAAGTATTATACAGTTTTGAATACTTAGCCGTCCGAGCATTAAGTCTTTTACAATTCCTTCAAGTCATACATGATGAGATGCAAAGGGAGAGTAGTGTATAGAGAGGGTCTTCAAAGTTCGACAAGATGATATTCGCCTATTTCTTGGATGAGTTCAAGTGTCTGTCCATAACAGTATTAACAAGTTGGTTTAGTTACACCTCTTTCGCCCTACTGATAGCTTTCAGTGTCCTTCGAAATGCAACAAAGTCTTTCTTAGTTTGTCCACGATAGATTAAGGGGGAGCAATAAAGAAAAATAGGTAGAATATAAGCATCAACAAACTGTAAGAGTGATACTTTTTTTAAAAAAAGGCAATACTAACACAAGATAAATACTCTGTGAAATTGTATAAATATCTAAAATAGACAGAAAAGAAAATGATCGTCTCTTTCTTTTTTTCTTTCTGTCTTATTAACTTATTCTTACCTGAGCAAAATGTAAAGCATAAAGATCATCAAATAGTTCATCATCAGCCATTCCTCCATGTATATACAATTTCCCTTTTGGTATACGATGTTCAGCATTCGAAGTTTCCAGCTGACACGGTGACTCATAAAGCATTAAATGACCTAACCGTGAACAAGGTGAAATACCCTCAACTGGTATTTTAATCCATGAATCCAATACACTATCATACATATGTACCTAGAAAATATGAAAATACTTCAAGTTATTATTATTACCTCAACAAAAACTCAGTAAAACAAGATCTTTAAGACATTAATCACGCGAATACGGCTAAAATAGAGAGAGGTTTATGGCTGAAGTAGATTCTTTCGGTGTCGTTCCATTCTCTGAGTTGGGTGGCTTAATTGTCAAGCTTTCTCTTTTTTCTTCTATACAACATTTTCAGCACTAACTTTGCCAACAATAATACCAAAATGGTTTAACCTATAACTGATAATCCTGGTAGAATATATGGTACTGTGGTGAGAGCTGTCTACTAGCCAAATTGGTAGACAGTAATTTACGTCAATATTTACGTTCCCAAGATTTGTCGTGAGAAAATGTGAACAAAGATTGATTCAAAACCGACCACAGCATACTTTGCGTAGGCGGATGCAGTTAACATACGGAGGATTTGACATTCAAGAAACAGTCACAAATAGATGAAAGATTAACTTTACGTGAGAAACAACCAATCGGAAGACTGTGTTTGTTTGCTTAACTAAACTATAATAATGTACATGAAAATATATAAATATGTGTTGATTTCCTTAATAAACGATCTGTTGACTGGCCCTTGTCTTCTGTTGTTTCAGTACTATTAAAATCCATAAGGTAGGATACTCTATTAGGCCAACAGTTTATTTTTTAAGAACACCTAGACTTATGAGTTATCTAAATATTTAGCATGAATATTATGTCCCATTATAGATTGGTCGAATTCTAGGTTAACTAATTCATATGTAATGAAAAGAAAGCTAGATAAAATTCAAATAGAAAAGGACGAGAAAATGATTAGTTTTGATGTATTAAGCTAATACACCAATATCCCACTTAGTACAGGTTTGGAGGCAGTTACAAATGAACTGGACATTGATCCTGAACTCTGAAATAGGACCGAACTCTCGATCGATGAAATAATTCTAGGTCTGTAAATATGCTTAACCTCCACCGAATTGAAGTTCCAAAATAAAATGTACAAACAAATGAATTGGCAATGGGATCACCAATATTCTCAAAAGTTGTAGACATTTATGGATAGTTGGAAATGTAAGGCTCTTAGGACATCACTATCTGATCCTAGGTTATGGTGGAGATATGCGGGTGACACATTTATTGGTAATATCCGAAAATATCCCCAAGTTCTTCCCACAAATAAAATCCTTGATAGATGGTCAATCGCGAGCCCGAATAGCTCAGTGGTAACGTCTCTGAATGCAGCACTGGATGACGCGAGTTCCTTCAAGGTTGCAGATACACCTTGCTGATGAGTGCCAACTAGCACGAAACCTAGATCCAAGGCTTCCTGCCGATTGCCTCCAACCATCTAATATCATCATAAAGATGGAATCCAATTCACTTTCGAGTCAGAAAATGAACGGGACGAGTTAGCTATGCTAGACCGTAAAATAAGACCGAAAAAGGATGATGGGTTAAATACTGTCATCTATAGAAAACCGGCACATTCTAATAAATAGTTAGACTTTGATTCATCCCACCTAAAATCTGTAAACGTAGGTTTAATTGGAAGTCTATGGTCAAATTTTGATCACAGTTCATGCAATTTTGTTTATTATATTTTCATTTCTGTTCATGACTCATATGCTTGAAAGAACTCATTTCTGACCAAGAAATTGAACTTATAACAAAAGCGCCACTCCAGGACATAATGCTAGGAGTCCAGCTAAGCCTAATTTCCACAATATTTAAATCCCAAGGGAAAATATACAAATAAATTGAGAAGGTTGCCATGGGGTCACCAATATCTCCGATTGTGTCAGATATATTCATGCATAGGTGAGAAAACCTATCGACTGAAATGTTCAGCCTACCCCAAAAGTAAGGCAAAGGTGACGCAGGTGACACATTCACTCTACTTAGAATACAGGACATAAATCGATTCTTCGAACACATCAACTCGAAGGCAGGGGCAATTCAATTCACTCATGAATTTGAAAGTCAAGAAGGGGAGCTTCCAATGTTAGATTGTAGTGTAAAAAGGAAAGAAGATGGGAGGTTAAACACTAGTGGTTACAGGAAACCCACACATGCAAACCGATATTTGGATTTCCGATCATCCCATCTTATGTCAGTGAAATGTTTAAGTAATAGGGCACAAAAACTAAATAGTACCAAGGAAAGACAGGAAGTGAGGCATATAAGAGAAGCTTTGAAACTTAATAATTGTCCAGATAAATTAATCAGGAAGTATGTAGGGAAACGTAAAACTAAAATTAATAATAATGGTAGTGCTAATAGTAATATTAATGACGACATGCATGTCAAATATGCACAGGATAATTACAACACCAACATTAAGGGATTTAAATCACTAGTAGTACTTCCATACAAAGAAGGAACTTCGGAAACCAAAAGTAGAATTCTTAACACAGCAGGAATAAAGGTGGATGGCATTCAAACCCACAAACTCAATTAGAAACAGGATTTGTCGGTCAAAGGATCCTGTGGAGACAATTAAACAAATCAATTTTGCCTATCTAGTACCCTGCTGGAATGAATGTCAGGTAAAATACATAGGTCAGAGTAGTAGAACGGGGTCAGTCAGACTATCGGAGTAAAGAATCTAGATTAGTTGACCCTAATAAGATAAGAAATCTGGAGAATAGTTCAGCTACACCACTCACTACACGCAAATACACATAACCGTAGAATAGGATGGATGGGATAAGATGACTGGGTGGAGGGAGAGATTGATAACAGAAGCCTTGTTTATCGAATCAACTGCAAACATGTGTAATAGAAATTATTCAACACCTGTTCACCCAGACATCTGGAAAATTCTACTACCCCTACGTCAAATAGTAAAGAATAAAGAAAACTATAAAACTCAAGTTTCGAAGTTGTGTGGTTATAACTGTTATTAATATGAAAAATAAGTTGTGTTAGAAACTTCATCCAGTAAATAATCCTGTTTCAGTGTTTGATATGTCCAATAAACAAGTTAATATGGAATTATCTAGGCTGTATCACTTCGACCACAGGCGGAACGGGTGAAGATGTCAAAGGCAGCCAGAATCGGAAAGGCAAGATTCGACCTCATCAACCTGAAATCAGTCTGGAAATCTTCTGCACTCAGCATAAACAACAAAATTTGAATTTTCATCACATATGTTAAGTTAATCTGTTCTTCTAAATGGGTCAGAAACTTGCACGAAGAGCCAGGAAAAGGATTTCCAACAGGTTGCAGACTTTTATCAACAACTGCTTTTGTATTATATTGTAGATCAAATGGTCTGAATGAATTAGCAACAAGAAACGTTGCGAATAAACTAACCAAGAACCTATCGTTCAATAAATATGTAGGAGAAAATGGAGATGGATTGAGTATACGCTGGGGAGACAGTCGAATGACATCACGCGTCAGGCCCTCGAATGGAACCCCAATGAGAGGCGAAGAGTGGGTCGTCCTAGGGTGAGATAGGGAAGATTGTGCGAGGAGATGATAGGTTATGGGTAATCGTGGACCCAGCTAAAGAAAACAGCAGATAATAGAACAAACTGATGTGTTGTTGAAGCCTTAAGTGCCACACGGAGGCCAAGGGAACTATTGTAATGACATAACAGAGTGAAAGTATTAAAAAGGAATATAGTTTGGTGGAGAGATAAGGGGAAGTTAATCACCGAATCTTCGTTCATAGAATCAACATCAAACACGAGTTATGGAAATGAAGCAACGCCTATACCGAATATATGGAGAATTACAATGAATAAGCAGTGGCGGAAAGAAAAATCGTGCTCGAAATGTCATCTAGTTATCAATACTATATCATTGTGTTATATAAAATAAACCTATCTCATATGGAATTATATTCTACCACAGTGTCCAAATTCTACACTTACAATAATCCTAAAAACATTTAATAAATATTGGACTGTAGAGGCATCTTACTTACCAGTTGACAAGTATTTCCTTGTTTTAAATCAGCAGGTAGGTACCAAGAATTCTAACTAACTTTCAACTTATATCAGCTAATTTTCTTACAAAACACTTCATCTTGTCCGAAAATTTTAGTTTCAATAAAAAACGCTGAGAATTTCCCCAATCAGTTAGCGCCAAGAAGCTTTCATCTAATAACATATGAGTGACCATCATTTTGAAGATAAAGATGAACGTGAAGAACACAGAATATACAGGGGTATCTGCTAGTGAAGACAAATAAGTCCACTTATATCAAGAAACTCTGAGCATTAGTATAAATGTCCCTCAGTAAGTCAAGAAAGTAATTAGACTGCTATGCATAGAAGATTCACTCATAGGAAACCAGTGGAAATCAAATTACTAATCGAAAATACACTACCATAGACACATGAACACCAAAATAATTGGTACGTATAAAAGTATGACACAAATTCAGTTTCTTAATGTAAAGTATTATCCACGGGCTTCATATGTAAACACACGAATTAAGATAGCACAATCAAATTAACGAATCATATGCAACCGGAAATAAACTCTTTGTAGGCAGTTGTAAAGGTTAGTTCAAGAGTGACAGACATATAATATCTGATTAACACTTCCTAACGCTGTAGTCTATTTGTTAATTACCTTTCTGAGAAGCATCACAGACTGAAATTATGTAATCTATTCAAAATAATGCGACAACAATAACACTGTCGCTAAACTAAAATCTAACATAAGCCTTAAACAATATGGTATTCTGATTTTAAAAAATATGCATTACACAGGTTCAGTATAAATTTAAATGCTCTATTTGTACTTGTTATTAGAATCCAACCAAGCACTAAAACGATTTAGTTATTCTGTACAAACCAATATCCATCTATTTCTTTAATTAGGAATGCATTAATAGTTCATAACTTATATGATTGTCTCACCTAACCATCCATATACAATGTAGATCAACCGTAAATAACAGACTATCAGCTTTCAGTATTAAAAATAGAAAGAAAACGAGATTATAGAACAGAACATTATTACGCTTGTAGTTACTTTGTCATCTGATACTGTCTGACTGCCAACATCTCCACCAGAGAATATTAAGAGTTGATCATATTCTGTAAGTGAAACAGATGAATGTTGTGTACGCGATTTACAAGCAGGATTAGTGTGATTGCAGCTTTGTTTTATACTTCCAGTGAATGACTGAATTTCAAATACTGATGAGTTCTCTGTTGATATTGCTTTTGGTACTGAAAGATCATCAAGGTGTAAACGGAGTAATTGATTTAAAGGACCTGATTTTGTTGCACCACCAAATATCAATAACTCCTGAATAAAGTTACACAATAAAACGTAGATGTATTCACAATGAACGGGAAAAGAGGCAAGCAGAAAGGGATAATTTGAAAAGTTAGCCAAACTCCTTTTTAAAAAAGACGATGAGAATCAAACTTCTACCTCAGTAGTAACTAGTGCAGACATTTTGATATTGTACTGACTCAATTGTAACAGGTGATAGAACAGTAAAATTTAAATCAAACCAGACAAGTGGAAGATTTGTGCGGGCTTAGCTTACATCAAGGACCAATATTAATTAGGGAACTATCGGACAATGAGGGACACTGAACAGAAATTTCTTCTTTAGCTATGAAATTTTCAGTAATGCTTGAACCACAAAATTCCAGCTTACAGACTGAGGACATTTCAAATTAGTTGGTGGATTGGAGACCCATGACCTACAACCTGTGTCGATTTTCAGTGGGATCATCCTACTTTATAAATAACTGCTCCCATACTCGATTCGATAAACTCAGTCAGTCACAACTCACTAGGAGTTCGAAAAATCTATTTTCAAGCTACTGAATTATGAGCACTAGCTTAGTACTGAGTCAACTCTCAATTGGACATTGTTTTCTAAATATGCCTGAAAGTCACACGACAATAAAACTTTTCCAACGTTAGTAAACTTCACAGCAAAATAACTAGAAATGAAAGCCTTTATATAAATGAATGTTGCAGTGAATAAATTGTTTTGCACCAATGTAATGTAGTGATATTTTAAAAATTTGCTTCATTTATGTAGGATAATAACGTTTTCGTTTGAATTAGGTGAATTTGATTTGATAAACATAACAACAATTTTCTATGCTCAAATATTTTCCTAAAAACTTCTAGCTTTTTTAATTAGTTAACATTTGAAAAAAACCCTTTGCTGATCTACCCAGTTAATCAACCAAAATGAACCTTCTTTGGGAACATGAAGATCTAAGAATTTAGATAATTATGAAGAATTTATACGAAGTCGAAGGATGAAAGAAGATCATAAAAGAGGAGAGAGAAGGACACGCATCTCCTTCAGCCTATTGCAAACTTTAACCATTAGATGCCCTCGCTCAATACTGAAGATCACATAGCTGACCAGAACGAATATACGACAAGGAACTCTGGCAACGAGCTAGCCAACAATACCCAACAAATATGCTGAAAAAATTGAAGTGGACTGGATATATAATGAGGAGACATTCAAGTGACATCACACGCCAGGCCATCTAATGGAACACGAGGAGGAAGTCCAATGTTGGGCAACCACGTATGACTTGGAGATCATGTGAAGAGGAAATAGAAGCCTGTGAGTAGACGTGGGGTATGCTGAAAGTGATGGCAGAGAACTGCGTACACTGCAGATGTGCACCTGAAGTCCTTTGTCCTACTCGGAACACAAAGCATGAATGACAACAGTACGCTGAGAAAGCTCTCTACGATATAGATTAATTATTTATGAGAAAGTTTTTATTGTATACCATGATAAAATGCAATGAAACAACTGTATAAACTTTCTAAAACTTGATCAAACGCCACATCTTCATGTCGTTAATAACGTAAAACGTATAACATCTTACAAACGTTAGAAATTTACCTTAACCAACAAAGCGATTAGATCAGTATACCAGTACTACAAGAGATTACAATGTGCAGTTCTAGAAGAAGTAGGCTGGATATGTGACTCACAATGAAATACAGACTTTTCAAAAAACCGTTAGTTTCACATGCACATGGTTTAGTGCGAAAAAAATGAATTATTCATTATGTGTTAGTAACTCACTTGGTTGCACAACAATGCACTACTATGTTCATATCTTCCCAAACTTGGGAAATCTATTGCTTCTGACACACTAATAGTATGCCATCCACACGATGATATATCCAGAATATGCGCCTCATTAAATACTGATGAGGGATCTGCACCACCAGTAATAATAATCAAAGGCCGTTTGCCCTCATGCACCGATTTTATATACAAAGTGTGAGCTGTGTGTCCAACACGCCCAGTTGGTAAGTAACTCCCATGAATGTGTGGTACCCCATACCTTTGTTGAAGACATTAGTAAACAGATAAGTTGGAATGTGAATTATCTTAGAGTAAGAATATAACGCTAAATGAAAGCATAAAAGTAATAATATAAAAATTCAAGGTGCCCAACTAACTATAAAACATAATATTTTCATGTGCAAGAGACGTATTCTAAGCCAAACGTTTGTCATTGCCATTGGGACACTATTTGTCCTTGGATTAAGTGAATACAGATACCTACAAATTTTTAAGGCCAACTATCATAATAAACTATTTCTCTTGCCTTAGTTCAAGGTTAGTTGGTTATTTCAATCAGAGTAAAATGTCTAGACGTATATACTGCACTTTAGTTGTAAATTGCAATTGAAGTATTGCCACATTTTGCGGAAAGATGATCCAGATCAATCAATAAGTGGCCTGTTCACTCCTTGATTGGACACTAGGCAGTAACTGGTGTCATGCAAATAGTCCTTGGTTTGGTGCAGACTGATTTCTATCAAGTTGGCAGTGTGGCCACCAGGCTAGGTGGCTCGCCATCACGATGCACTCCGAATAGCTGTGGTTAGATAGTTGGACACAATCGACAGGAACGTGACAGGAGTGAGGAATAGTAATGTACTCTGTTGCATGCATACAGAGTAGTTACTGACTGCATCACATTCCTAGAGACATTGGTTAGGTTGACAGATTTCGAAGACAACTACTTCGTATTCAGTATATATATATATTTCTGCATCAGACACCTCCATTTAACGATATTGAACAAATAAATTCTCCCTTCAACAAACAACATAAAACACATATAACTTACTACTGATGGTCTCAATGAAAATATCAACACGCAATTTCGAACTTAATATATAAATATTGAAAGTTCTATTCAAATCATAGTGATTCGAAAGTGACTAAGTTTTCCAGCATCCTAGGACATTAAGATGTAAGCTATTATACAAACAAATACAAATTGCAATCATCCAAAAGAGAAATTTAGTAGACGATCGAGTTCGTACTCGTAAGTATTCGTGATTATTAAAGTGGAAGTATCGAACGAATAACCTGAACTTCTGTTCCTCGAAAATGACCATTTAATTTCAATGGTGATAAACGCAAGACAACACAAGAAAATCATGAAATAAGGTCTCTTATTTGCTAAAACGTCAATTCTTTGAACATCAGTGAAAATTACCTAATTTTAGAATACACGACTACAAATGATCTCTAGATATAAGAAGGTGAAACTCAAATTAAATTAGGCCACAAAATATTTTCGTGCAACAGACAGAACTTTCTTCAATTTCACACTATGATCTCATAATGGGAGTTTTCGCGTCCTGGGCCCAGGACCATGAAGGGACGATTTTTGGATCCGAAACCAAATGCACTTATCTGAGTTTTCATAGATATCGCACAACAGTTTCCTCTGTTTAGCTAACGTTATTCATTGGAAAATGCATACCATCAAGAAAACAGACCAAGGAAACTGCTTACCAAGATCCTCTAACATTTAGTTTTTTAAGTAAATCGTCCATATTACAACAACATACAAACTTTTGAACGCTGAGAATTCTCGTGTTGTAGAACTTCTTTCTTAACAATAATCTTAGTATTGCCACAACCGGTATATGTGGAGAGGGTTGATGAGTTTCCAAACGTCAAATAGATTGCTGGTGGGTTTGTTTTACGGTTCAGTTTGTGTATGTTCCGGGCGGGATCTTCGTAATAATCATTAATGACATAATTATTCACTCCAGAACATTTTTCTACATCTTTACTATCACTGGACATGAGGCAAACATGATCCACCACTCCAATACATAAAACCGGTGTTTTGTTTCGCAGGTAACGTCTCCTTCAAACAAAATCCAAACAGATTTTAATAGCTTTGTTTAGACAACGAAAGCTCTAGGTCTATTTCAATTATTTTCTAATAAGTATTTGTGCATTTACACCTCCTTTTGGAACGAGTCAATTCAGAGTGTAGACACCACTTATTCCGTTCGTCTGTTCCAGGAATTATTGACTAGTCCAATGCCCAATACTGCTTTTATAAGCTAGAGTAAACCAAATTGATTTCTGTGTGCTAGCTTCTTATCTCCAAGGTAAAGTTTACCAATCTTCGATATACTGCACAATGCCTCCTGCCACTCGACTGTCGTAGCTTCCGCTGACTCCAATGAGAGTGGTGCTGGGATTAGTTATATATAGTTTGCGGTATGCTATGTGTATAGACTGTATTGCTGCTGTGATTGCCGTTTATCATTTCACCCGTCAGCTGTCTTGTGTAGTTAAAAAGAGAGGTATCAATAATAATCAATAATAGTATATATAATTACTGCTGATTGCGTAAACTTTTAAAAGAAATACATAGAGACAGATAGATAATGAAATCCGAAATTATAAAAATATATAAATAAATATAATAATAAAATAAGTTAATGAATACGTAGGATAGCCACATTTTTTGGCAATGTTCCACTGGTGGCAAACTCGAAGATAATAAAAATGAGAGCTTACTCCAATCTTTGCTCTCTGGTGTGATATCATTTTTGGATTGCCATGAAAAAGCCGTACTTAGAGGTAGAATACTTATGTTTGGGTGTTTCTTGTGGTTTTCAACCTTCTGAGTGGTAGTTAGGTCGCCCGGAAGCCAACGATTGCTAAGTGTGAAAATACCTAGTTTTTTCAACCTTTCATCAAATAGTTTGTTTCGCAGGCCTGTTAGCCGTTCTGTAGCCTGCCTTTGAACTCTTTCCAAAATATTAGTGTCCCATTTGAATGATGAGAAAGAGGCGATACTGGTTGAATGAGCAGTACACCACAGAGATATAGTTGTGCCGTAGCTTTTAAACTGTTGCTGAGGCCTCAGAGGTTATCCTGAGTGGCAGAAAAGGAGTGGGTAAGTAGATAAAGTCCATAGTTATTCCTAGGAAGAAAGTTTCCACTCCCTGCCTCCTTTCTACAGGAAGTTCTTTGATCCAGTTGACCAGGATACCATCGACTCCTAGATTCCCAGACTCATGACCAGCTTTACGTAATACACGCTACTGAAAGCCTTACCAAATTCTATGAAAGTAGTGGCAGTGGTTTCCTTCTTATCGCCAGACTTTACCTAGATTCCCATTGCTCTATGGATTGTCAGATACGAGGTGTTTCCCCAAAATCCACGTTGTGATTCGTTCTCTAAATATGCTATGGTCTGCTATCGCTTCTTTTTTTCTGTATTCTATTTGATTGGCTCCGCCAGCACTCAGGTCGGGGGATGTGAGATTTCTTGTTCCTGAGGTATATATAGTAATCCGGCGTCTTGAGTTAACCCCTTGGGTTTTAAGCCGAACCTAGTCCAAATTTTGTCTGTGACTGAGTAAAACCTGCCGCCGTATGTAGCCTCTTGACCTAAGAAGACTTGAGGACTGGCAGTACGTGTGAGTACTTATAATGACAGCGAACAAGACCATGAGTCTCCTATTTTAACCATAGGGTAAATATTTTTGAGCCTTCTGCATAGTCTGGAGGGAAGATAATTAGGTTACTAGGGCGTCTGTTTGCTTTAACTAACCACAAGAGGCCTCTGCGTGGGCTTCCGGGTCTAAGCTTCAATCCTTTGACTAGGCTGTGTGTCGGTGGCACAGTGGTTAGGACTCTCGCCGACCATGCACATGGTCCGGGGTTCGATCCCCTGCCGGCGCACACCCGATATCTATGGTCAGCCTGCAAAATTGGGCTACCGATATCACATGCTGAAAATTCCATACTTGTACCAAAAATATGGTGTGGAATTAAGCTATAATAAATAAATAAAAAATAAATAAATAACGCTTACATAGGCTTTCGACACTTTCGGTCTACCTTGGGTTTTACCATGAGATGCAAAAGCAACAGAGAATTAAAACCAAAACAAAATATGATG